TGGAAGTTTGATATAGTAATAGTGTCGTTAAGATACATCCCTTCACACCTTGAATGATTTTCCATTATGTTAGATCTTTTTACAAGCCTCACACCAAGACATCTCTTATAATCTTCTAACACATACACATCAAACATATGGTGGACTTTGAATCAACCAAATTCAACGGATATTTTCATAAGCACAAACACTATGGTGGACTTTGAATAAACCAGAATCAAATAATCTTTTATAACACAAACAAAAAATATACCACTTTCTTTCTATTTTGCAAACACTTTTAAAAAGTAGAATCACTTTCTTTACAAATTAAGTCACCACATATTTGGTAATCAATTACAACAATATGATAAAAAAATACTTTGAGTAACAAAGATTTTGGACACTTTCCAAAATTCATAAATTTGATATTCCCTTTCTAATAAATAATTCACAATTATATAGAACTTGAATGCTCAAAGGTTTGATGAAACTTTTCTATAATGTATGAAAATTATGAAGAAAAAGTTTTCATAAAGTTTACGATTGAACACTTGAAATTTAAATGAATTGTTTAAAAATTTGAATGAAACATGTTAGTTGAAAATATGATATATTTTCCTTTGAATACATCATAAGATACCTCTTAGATTTGTTGAAATGTTTGGATAAAGTTCATAATGGGTTGCAATGGTTTGGAATAACAATGATTCATATTTTTAAAATTTTCTCAGGGTGCAATTGATTGATTGAATGGTGCAATCAATTGTCACATTTGTAACGTTCAAAGTTTTCATCCAAATCCATGATGGAATTGATTGGCACCTTTAAAATTTTCAATTTTTCCAGACAGAGACAACATGCAATCGATTGCTTGATATGTCCAATCAATTGTACTATTAAAAAACTTGAATTTTTGCCTTTCAAAAGTTGTGGCTTGAATGTCAATTATGCATGAATATTGAGAAAACTTTAGAGAGGGTTGGATGAGATATTTTTGAGCATATACATTTTATACAAAGATGAATTTTCATTGTCCCTTATTTCATGATCAATTCCCTTACTTTCAAAATATCCATAAGCTTATGCATTTTTTATTCTTGAATCCAACATTTTTCTTTGATAAACGTTTTTCTTCATAAAAAAAAAACAAGCTAAGATAAATGACGAACAACTTCTTCACAATCTCCCCCTTTTTGATGACAAAATATATTGATGGAAATTTTTTGTTTGACACTTGACGCTCCCTCTATCTTGTATATTTCCGCATTTTTTTAAAGTCATGCTTTGTCTTTAGTAACCCGAAAATTAACAAAAACAATCATACATCATCTCCCCCTTTTTGACATTATAAAAAACAAAAGGAGTAAACTCTAAAGAATAATATAGACAATAGACACATCATATATTAAAGTACTTATCTTCTTCACAATAATTTGATGCCAATGTTGATATCAATGTTGATGTTCTTCTAATTATGTTGATACCAATGATATTCTTTTTGAAAATGGAAATCTTTTCAATTCATATTCTCCCAAATGGAATTTTAATATTACCATATCATATGGTCTTATTATATCTTGAACAACCAATCTTTATTTAACAATTTTAGTATGTGATCTTCAAATATCTACAAAAAAAATTAATAATACTTTCTTCCTACCCAGTATTCTTTGGGTCCTTTTGGATGAGTTAATTTTCTTATCCATGCATACTCTCCCCTAGGAACACCAAAGCTTCTTATGTAGCAAGCATTAGAAGTAATACCTTTTGTATAGCTATAAAAACATGTAGGATTAAAGAAATTCTTATCTTTAGAGACAAGAATAATTTTTAACATATGCCTTCTTAGGATGAATTACCACTTGCACTTTCTTTGATTCCTTATAGTTAAATTTATTTCTAGCCTTAACAAAGATAGGTTATCTTGTACTTGGTTTATCAAATTTAGAGTATCAAAGCCCACATTTATCATTAGTGTATCTTTGTATATTTAACATATTTTCTAAACTAAGTTGTCCTTTCTAATATTTCTTTAAGACTTGGTTCAATTCAACCATTTTTTATTCAAGAGTCACATATTTATTACATGATTTATTTTTTACTTAGTCTAATTCCAGTTTCATGTAATTATCATTACTTTCTAGAGATAAAATTATTTTCTTTTGTTTTGAACATATTCTAGAAAGTGTCAACATTCTGCATGCAATTCAAGGAAAACATTATGCAATTCATCATAAGATGGTTCAAGACCACTAACCTCATTTTCTTCATCATCATAATGGTGTGAAGCCATTAATGCCATGTTTGATTGTTGCTCATCTGAAGATGAACTTACTTCATTGTCTTGCCATGCCACACATGCTCTTTTTTTATTTCCTATCCTTTTTATTCTTGACTTTGATCTTCTTTTGAAGATTAGGAAAATCACTTTTGACATGACCTTTTCTTCCAAATTCAAAACAAGTAATTTTCTTTCTTAAATTTGATGTTTCTTTTTGACAAAGTTCCCTTGTCTTTTCTTTCTTAAGAACTTTTCAAAAAAAATTTATTAGTGCATCATCTTCATCATCTTCGGATTGAGATTCTTTTTCTTGATCACTATCTTGTTTAGACATCAATGCAAGGGATTTTACTTTAGCTTCACATTCTTCATGCTTATCCAATTTTTCATGATCCAATTCATGGCTTTCCAATTGATCAAGTTTCATCTCATGTTCTTGAAGTTTCTCAAATAAGTCAAAAGAGAGGATAGAGGAAAGGCTGCAGTGGATGAAATATAGTTAGGAGGGGCTGAGATAATCAGTGAAGGCAAAGAGCTCATTTATTGTTGTAGAATGGTTTAGAAAGCAATTGGTTAAGACTAAATTGTCGAGAGACAAGGTTAGACTGGTAACTGAGCAGTTAAACTAGTCCTTTGAAGGCCTAAGTCTAGTCGCAATTAACCTAGGGATGATGAATGCTTCCCATATAGCCAAATATTATGCTTCTTGATCTATCGAAGGAGCATGGAATTCTCTGGTGAACCATTCAGGACCATGAGTCTTGTTAGCGAAAGGAGCCATGGGTGGAGTAAAATTGTGGTGTTTGGCAAACATCATCAAGTACCTAGTATATGCTTCCTTTAAACTTAGTCCCTCATCAGTAGGAGTCAATTGGGCCAGTCGAGTTCCTTTGATTCTCCTGTTTCCGTCGATACTAAGACCATGAGTTATGTTGTCGAAGTAAAAAATATTTTGAGTGTTTTTAAAGATCTCAAATGTAATGGAGTTCTAGGGATGGAAGATGAAAAAAAGTTCAAATGAGAAAGAGAAGTATTTATAGAAGAAGAAAGAAACTATTCAGTTTCTATGAGGTGGCAAATCGGATGAGATCGTGGGACGCGTTTTCATGTTTCATAGGATGGGATGAGCAGTTACTTTTTAGGTGCCACTATTGTCCTATAAACTAGGGATCATGATTATTGTCTGGATGTTGCACGTCTAGGTGAGACTTTTGAGAAAAAGAGGTCATAATGATCATGACGTCATAGCAGTAAAATAATTATAGCGTCGAAGCATTCAAAAAATGTCCTTTTTCTCCATTTTGTCGAAAAAGACATTTTTAGGAGGCAATTTGTTAGCTGGAATTTTGACTCTAAGATGCATTTGAGATGTCAAGGGAAACTAAAAGGAATATTTGAAGCAAGTAAGTCAAGTTCGACTAAAGAATATTTTGGTGGGATTTCGACTAAATATTGACGAAGGAATTTCCATTTCTACAGGGTGGAATCATCCTAGAACTTAGAATATTTTGTACCTATTTTGATTATGGTTTCGACAAGATAATTTAAAATAAGGTTGGTTAGCTGTTTTTTAGCCTTATCCGTTTTTTGAAGGATGTGTAGAAACTTGTGGAGGGCAAAACACATGCAAACAAAAACATGTCATTCTCTGGAGAAGAGACCGTTCGTTATCGTTACTGTAAATAGGGGTCTTAGTATCAATATTCAATGTGTTCGATTGTATACAAAACTCATATTACTAAAAGTATCTAAGTGTGATGAGAAAAGAGTTGTTGAGTGAAATGTACGTATGAATCACTATATTTCATTCAATCAAGTTATTTACCTTAATATTATTTTCATGAATTTTAAAATTCAGTCGAAGTCACTCTTCATTTCTTTATATTTTATAAATTATTCTTATATTAGTTTAAAGTTACAAACCAGTGTCGAAATACTTATTATCAAGAGAACTTAAAAAAACTGTGCAGATATGCCCTAAGATCAATATAATTGATTCAACAAATAATCAAAGTCCAAAATATCAATTTTACAAAAGTAGTAGATGTTTCCTTACGTATAGCAAAATCGACATAAAACAATAAGCTATTAGTAAATCTCAACTAACCATAACTAATTCAAACTAACTAACTAAATTAGTTCCAAAATACACATGAGTAATTATATTTCTAAATATGTTAAAATCTTCAAAATAGTAATGATAGTCGATTATGTATCTTGGCTTGGCCTAACCCCACCTCAACAAAGCTAGTTATTATTTTTGGATAAACATTAATGATGCAGCTTGAATCAAATGGTAACAACCCAACACAACACTCACACGACATGAAAGTGTTAAACTAAACATAGTATACTACCTCCCTCACTAAAAGACAATGCACAACTCATCTTCATCATCTCTCTATAAACTCCCATCTCTCTTTCCCTCTCTTCATCTCATTCACACAATCAAACACTCTTTCTTCTTCCATGTTCTACAATGGAGATCCAAAGAATGAAACAATTGACACTCTTATGTTCTAGAATCCGAACCAACCGTCTTGCTCTTGTGGGTGGAAACCACACCGCTTCCAGATTTTGCAGTCGCTAAAGTAAAGTTCACATCTTTCTGCATCTCTTCTCATCAATCTTCACTTTTCTTCATCTGGGTCGTCTTTGTTTTGATCCATTGAACCAATTTCAACCTTACTTTGTCTCTGTACTCGGTGTTTCTCAAAAGGGTCTCACTATCTTCAAGATGAAGAAAAAGCATTTTCATGGCGGAACAAGAATTGCTTTGAATCCTCATAACTCTATTGTTATCAGGATTCCTGATACTAAGGTTTTACGCATTTTGTCTCGATCATTGTTCTTGGTTATCATTCTTGTCGCATTGCCTTTCATAGGTAACATTCTTAATGGATTCTCTTTCACATCGAGTTCTCATTCATTTGTTGCTTCCAAATTTGAATTCTTACATGATATGGCTGAGAAAGGAATCTACAAAAACGATGATAAGACTCTCATTGTAAGTCCTCCCAATGGCTTTGGATTTGAGGGTATTGATGTGGTCATGGATAATGATTATGAGAGAAAGAGGTTGTTTCTTGATGAGTCCTATGATTTTGTTTTTGCATCAAACTCTAGTGATGTTGAATTTGTTGATCGGATTGTAAAAATGGGTGGAATTGTGGTGATGCTGAATTCTTTGAGAGATAAACCATCAAAGTGTGCTTTTAAAGAACAATTACATTATAGAGTTGTTTACTTTAGAAGTTATGGAAGTTCTATGATTGTAGCATTGAGGAAAACTAGCTCGGCAATTAAACAACAATATGGAACATGAGTTGTGTTTCTTTTGGTTGTGTATGTTTTTAGAAGAAGTGCATTATGTGTCCTTAATGGTGCACGTTTGTATTCATTTTCCATGTTGTGCTAGTATGATATGGTGATAATGATAACACTAGCTCATCAACACATAAGATATTGTTTAGCTAGATATTTTGTATATGAATTTTATTTAGTTATTATCATTTTGTCTTTAGAAATGAAAAACTAACTTGTTTTTATCAATCATTTGATATATTTTTATGACGATTGAATTAGCCTTTTTCTAATAATGAATGAACAAATAAAGGAGAAATTTATTCTCATTATGCCTCTAAATTAAATAATATAGTAGAAACAATTAAGTAGCCTTCAACCTATTTTAAGATGGATTTTCCAAACTTAAACATAAAATGTAGATTGTAGATTGAAATCGATTCAACTACACAAAATGGAATGGTAAGTTTCTGCATATCTTTTTACTTATAAATATTTTTTCAAAATTGAATTACATGCATTCAACAATGAAATTCATGTGTTGTAAATATTTTTTTCCCCTTTAGTAGAAGTGGAACATGGGCAATAGAATCTTATATGTAGAGTCTTAAAGAATATTTACTCGAACTTTATCAACTCGACCTCACTTCATCAAGGATCGAGGTGGGTAAACTGTTTTTAAAAAAGTCTCATAATGTGGTGACGTTGTCCGTGTGGTGAGCACATGGCCTAACTCATTGTCCCCTTTTAAAGACCTTTTGTTTATATCACACGATTATAGTAAGATTAACCGAGGTCGTTGATGATGGGTTTGTATGGGCTACAATATTTAAGGGCTAAGTATAACCCACAACCCCAAACATAAGACGTATAAGGGCTAAGTGGTTGTGCATGCAATGTTACATAGTGATTTATGTATGTTGAGGTTGAATCAATCACAACTTTGAGATTGGAAATGTTTTAGGCTTTCCATCAAATGTTTCCTTGTGAAGGTTGTTGGTACCTATATCAATCAGCCATGATGAAATCAAATTTTGGGAAGGACGTTCGATTCAGACTATTGATCATGCATGTGCTTGGAAAACATAACATTAATCTTCTAATAGAATCTTGAAAAATGTTGGTGCAAAAATCCAAATTGATTTCCTTTATTTTCAATATATTCAAAGAAGATTGTTTAAAATAATATCATCGTTTCCACATTGCTCAAGTCTTGCTTTATCTATTTCGTTATCCTTAACGCTACCTTAATATCCTCCTACCACACCCCCACAATACATATATTGTTTGTTTTCCTTTTATTCCTTCCATTTCCTCATTTTTCAAATATGAAATTGTTTAGGGAGTGTGATGAAAACATAACATGTTTGAACCCAAAAATCATGAAGACAAGTATGACTTGTGGGATTGTTTCATTACAAATGCAAACATGCAAACGAGAGTGTTGATTATGACATAGTTGAGAGAGAGAGAGAGAGAGAGAGAGAGGTGTTTGGAAGAGTTAATTGTAGTTTCAATAACAGTAGCTCATTTGTGGCTTAACTTAGGATATTGACGTTGTTTTGGTTTATTCTTTCTCAAGCACGACGAGAAGGACAATGACACTGGAAATAACCTCCGTTGATGCAAGCATGGATTATTTCTCTAACGAGGTGGTGAACTTTGGTTGTGTATTCATCACTGAAGCACAAGTGAAGGAGTTTTGTGGAGGACTAACGACCTCATCTACTAGTAATGAGGAGGACATCATTCTGGAACCTTATGTGAATAGAGAAATGACATGCATGTGCCAACCTCATGGAGTGGTATCCGAGTTTGTCCAAATGTATGCATTTATTATGTCAGACTTATGGGTTAAAATCCCCTCACCTTTTTTGAGTTAGAGGTCCTGAGAATGATCAACAACGCCCCCTAAATGTTACCCTAATAGTTGGGCATTTGTGAGAGGGAGGAGTCAAACTTTTGTGTGAGGGCCTAGGGATCACTTGTACCGTAGGGTCTTCTTATCCTTATATGGGATGAAAGGGTGGACAAGGAGATTTGAATCTCCATTAGTGGACTTCTAAACAAAAGGGTTTTTCCTTATACTGCTAGAACTACATGAATTAGGGGGAAATATATATTTTTTAGTTCGCGATGATGACAACTACACATAGGCCATTTTTGTTATTATTATGTGAGACTAACTATTTTTTTCTCATACAAAAATATTGCACATATCCATTTTTATTATTATTATTATGTGCGACTAACTGTTTTGTTTTTCTCATACAAAAATATTGCATCATGTGTTAGTAGAAGAAATAAGGCTTAATACCTCCTCTTTTAGTCCCTTAACTTTAGTCATTGTTTCTCTTTGGTCCCTTAAGAAAAAACCGTTACATTATGGTCCACTAACTTATACTCTGTTACATATATTAGTCCTTTCTATTAGTTTTGGTTGGAAAAACGTCAAAATATGCATTGTTGGACTTTAAATGGCTTAGGTAGAATTTATGTGTTTACTTTAATGGATGAGGTGGAATTTATATTACACTTACCATCCATTTTAAGAAGATGAAACATATTAGGGCATACTTACATTGTTGGATGAAAGCTCAAGTTCAGAGAGTACGATAGCAGAGACATTGTTTACAACATCACTTCTTTGAAGACGAAGTTCATTGAAAACGACGATAATAACATTGTTGACAATAACCCTCCATTGAAGAAAAACTTCATTCTTTCATTCGTCTGTAGAAAAAACCCTAAGGTACGAACTTGAACAAACACGTTACTAAAAATGTTAACTTTCTTCTATACCTAACTTACTTAGTACTTCTGATACTATATGTAGGGTAATTAGGTCATGGAGAGTATGTTTAAGTGTGTTGTTCATCATTCTAGTGAGTTTTCTAGGGAGTTTGCAAATTTTACCAAGTCAGGTTATGTAGGGTTAGAGGAGATATAGGATGTTGATCCTAATTATTGGAGTTACTTTGAAATATTGGACAAGTTAAGAGAGTTAGGTTACCCTACTATAAATAGACTTTGGTATTATGATGACATGTTTGCTAATGATATAATTTAGTTAGAAAAGATAAGGAGACTTATAGGATGAGAACAATTGTAGTTTAACTAAATGCCATTTGTATGTTACACATCCTGTATCTAAACCTGATGTTATTGGGGAGCCCATACTCTCACTACCAGATGGGAGCATATTCAGTGAAGATATGTATGGTGAAGGACCTAATATGGTTAATGATCTAGATAGGACCACAATGGCTGAATATGTGCTTGGTGAAGTATATGAAAGGGGAAGTAATGAAAGTGGGACCATACTGGGTGAAGATGTGGTGGAAGAGGGGACAACAACTGATGAAGTTAAGGAGAATGTTGGGATTGAAGAGAATGTTGGAATTGAGGAAAATGTGGATCATGTGGGAACCAACTGTGAAATTAAGAAGAATGTGGGTCAAAAGGAGACAAACTGTAACAATATGGATGATGTGGGGACCACATATGAAATTGAGGAGAATGTGGGTGTAGGGATGAATGTTGAAGTACATGAAAACAATGAAGGACTAAACTATAACTAAGAACAAGATGAGGTAGTTATCTGTAACTAAGGAGATATGCCAGAAGATGGAAGTGATGACAGTGCTTTGAATGTTAATTTTGAAGACTCGGAGAATGATATAGGTATTGATGGAGAGATAGCAATTGATGAGGATGAAGTGAATACAACAAGTAAGGAATTGATATGGAGGGCTGCATGTGCAAGTTATGTTAATGCTTGGGAGAAAATAATGCTTGAAATAAATGGAGTTAATGAAGTGGCCTTCAAACATCTCATCAAAATTCCATCAAGATTCTGGAGCAAATCAAGGTTCTAGCCAAGTTCAGGTTGTGAGACTTTGGTTAACAATATGTCAGAGGCCTTCAATTTCGTGTTTGTAGCTACTAAATCCAATCCCATTGTGACAATGCTTGAAGAAATTAGAGTATATCTAATGCAGAGATGGGAATCCAATATCCAAAATATTACTAAATACAATGGCATCATACTAGTTTCAAATGGTTAATTTGTTGAATATTACTTTCAAATGGCTAACTGTTTACATAGACTAACATTAAAATGTTTACTTGTTTACAAGCGTGCAGGTGAGTATGACTATGAGGTAAGACATACTTCACTCAATGGATAAAAATATGTTGTCAACCTTTATAAGAAAGAATGCTCGTGTAAAATATGGATGCTGACTGAACTTCCTTGCTGTCATGCAATCTCTTGCATGAAGGATCAACACTTAGAGATTGATGACTTTGTACCTGAATGTTACAAGAAGGAACAATATGTTGCTTGCTATGCACATGTTATATGTCCACTTAATGGGGAAGCCTTATGGGTAAAGACTAGTGTTGTTTATCTTTAGCCACAACTAATAAAGAGGCAGCCTAGAAGGCCAAAGAAAAAAAGGAATAAGGAAGCTGGAGAAATGGTGAGGGATAAGACATACATGAAGAGGGCAAGACACGGTATCAAGTGTAGTCGTTGCTACAAGGATGGTTACAATAAGGCCACTAGTAAACTACCACAACCACGAGCTCCTCCAAGTCAGGTACAAGAAGCAATAACACAACCACCAATAACAGTTGATTCAAGTCAAGTACAAGAAGCAACAAGTCACCCACCATCACCTGTTGTTACAAGTCAGCCACCACCATAAGTTGTTACAAGTCAATCACCACCACCTATTGTTACAAGTCAGCCACCACCCAAAACTATAAAAAAAACTTCATAAGAGTGGCAAGAGCCTGTTTCAAGCCAACCTTGATCATTATTATTATGTTTGCTAAGATTTTGTAATGTCTTTTAATGGCCTGACTCTTTTGTTTTCGTAAGGAACATTTTGTAATTTCATTATGTAAGGCACATTTTGTCCAATTTACAATGGACCATCTGTTTTGTAGTTGTAACACATTTTGGAATGTTATATTAATGCCTTATAATGGCCTTTTGTTATTGAACATTGTTAT